ACAAAAAAACACCGTTCTGCCCTGCGGTTCCCCGTGGGACACCGCCCCCCCGGTACCTTTGCGCGCCATCGATTTTTGCTGGCCCCGGTGGGCAGCGCTAGCTGAGGACCAGGTTAGTCTTTAGGAATATAGAGATAGAGATAGAGATAGAGATAGAGAAAAGGAAGCAAAGGAGCCTGACCCCATTACCATCTTGTTCGGCCCATAGAGAAGTGAGCGGTAGTTTACATCATTTTGGGACGCTCAATAGAGATTGCGCTAGGGCACACTCACATTAGGGGCATACTCACATTAGGACTTTTTCTGGTAACCTCTGGACGTGACCCCATTACCATCTTGTTCAGCCCATAGAGAAGTGAGCGGTAGTTTACACCATTTTGGGACGCTCAATAGAGATTGCGCTAGGGCACACTCACATTAGGGGCATACTCACATTAGGACTTTTTNAGAAGTGAGCGGTAGTTTACACCATTTTGGGACGCTCAATAGAGATTGCGCTAGGGCACACTCACATTAGGGGCATACTCACATTAGGACTTTTTTCTGGTAACCTCTGGACGTGAGTGCAGTTGGGTTCACCGAAATCCGTCCTTAACTGCAGTCCGATACATTCAGGAAAGCGCGAGTGCGAGTATTCCCTACGACTTTCCTGTATGTGTCAGACAGTATTCGGTCCAGTGAGACGAGAGACAACATCAGTAACCAGCAGTTGCCGCACACAACTTTCAAAAGATCCAGAAAGGAGTGTTAAGAACTTGCGAAACGATCAAATCCAGCCTCCAAATCCAAACTTTATCCATTATTATAGAATAATGTTAGTTACTTTGTAATAGTTTGCATAATTCACGTGCAGAATTGATACTCGTGCTGTGATGTTCCCTGCCAGTAGGAATTTCACAAGGTGATTAACTACTGATGCCATGTTCTCTCCGAGCCATTCATGTCGCAGGTCTCCTTGGCCTATCCCTCCCTCCCTCCCTCCCTCCACTCTTACCTGCCCTCGCTTGGGGTCCATCCACCTGGACGTGAAAGCCATACGTACGCCCCATCCTCTAGGAGATTGACTATATGTTCCAAGAGCTCTGACGAGAACCAGCAGGTTTATAACGACAATACATCTTTTACGTAATGAAATCTTTATATTCTTCCTTCATAGGGTTTTACAATGCCCACCGTCTTTCCAAAATCACAGTTCTTTAAAGTCACGCCTGCGAAAGGCCTTCCATGTACAACCTTCCTCCATCTCTGCTCTCTTTGTCTCTGCGTATACATATTGACGATGCTGATTCCCGCGATGTCACCGACAGAAACAACCATGACAGGATTCCCACTGAAACCGACTCTATACCACTGCCAACATTGATGGACGGCGTGGTGAAGATACTAGATGATACCAGTAGGGGTAGGGGCACAGAGATATGATGCAACTCGTCAGATTAAAAACAGAAGGCTTGGAAGGGCATCCGCTTGAACATAGCGGCGACACTGCAGAAGGAGCGCTTCGTGCCGCCGCCGATGCTAAAATGGTCGGCAGTGTTGAACTCAACATTTTCACTACACACCGATCAGGCTGCCTTGACTGCTTCTACCTCCTCCCTCGTCATCAGGCAATTGGGCCGGGGGTTAGGTGCTAGCAGAAGAAGAACGACACATCTCTAAAACAACTAATGAGTGGAGACAGCCTGCCTGCGTTCTCCCCTCCTGAGCGCACGCTTCTCAAGGAGGCAGACCCTTTCACCAGACTACTCTTGATGACCTTCCACGTGCTTTATGAGTGTTATCCTTCTGGCCGCAATCCCCATTGGAGGTCAAGGTCACCACTCTTCCCATGCCTGGGAATCTGACACAGCAAGCTTCCACTTTTCTGATAGGCCCTCATTGCCGATCGCTTGAATCGTCGAAGCTTCTTTAGATACTGAGAATGGTGTATGCAAGGCAGTTCCTGTCTGACTTCTCTCACTGACTAGAGAGAGGCGCACCCCAGTACTGCCTAGCCTCTAACGCGTCGCTGCTGGTCACTTAAACATTGCACCCCTACGAACAAACGAAACCACACATCACAACCCCCCCCTTATGGCTGCAAAGAGTTGCACAGCCTGCAAAGCACCCAGCCACCTTCGACATCCGTGTGAAGGCTGCAGGACAAGCAATTGATGTGATGACCCAGCTCTTCCCGCCTTGCAAGTTCATATCGCCAAGTTTTCTGCCGAAGAGTGCACTTCCGTCAAGCAGCCCCCCCTTCTCAAGAGGGGCACCTTAGACATGTTTTCACACCTGGGGCCAAGTCCCACTTACCCTGCTTCTTCATTTCTGGTCGCTGATCATCGTAATCTACCGTCAGAAGTTGAGAATTCGGGTACTAAGTGGGACTTGCGCCCCGGATATCCACTTAAACTACCAGCACATTTTGCAAACATTCTTTCTCTGGCACGGTCGTTCACGAGCCACAACTTTTGGGCCTCGGACTGACGAGTCCAAACAGTCCTGCACGCCAGCCTAAAGAAAAAGTTTGTGCCCGCGTCGGTATGGTGAAATTTGGCGTGCGCGGCAAAACGCGGCCGTGGGAATAGAGGCTCAAATTGCTGGTGGTGGTGTAAAGACATATGGTCATAGGATTCCAAGAAAAAAAAAAAAAAAAAAAAAAGGGCATATGGTCATAGGGTGTTGCAAGTCCATGGATAAGGTTTAGCATTTTTTTTGAGCTCCAAGATTCTTCGGCAGGAGTTTGTTTCAGTTTTCAAGACCTGAAATGATTCAGTTTGAGGCTCAATCCTATGACATACAAGAAACAAGAAGCACAGGTTGCAGGTGCCCTAACAACTCACCATATCAGAAGTATGCTTAACAGCATCAGGAAAATCATGCTCTCTGGCTTGGCGCTGAGTACAGTCCTCAGTGTGCCTTCAAGAAGTGGCAAGGCCAGTCAATCATTAAGACTCCAGTTGTAATCACTGTAGGATATTTTGAAATTCCCTCCTTGAATCAACTCCTTCAGGTCATTCTGCTTCTGCTTCGACAAGAAGGTGGAAATGAATGCAAGCCTCTCCTTTGGCGTTTCGCCAAAATCGTCTTTGTACCAGTCAAAAATCCTGGATAAGGTTACGGTCCTTCGTTCTAGGTTGAGTTTCACCTCTCCCTCGCAAAAGGATATAGTTGCAACTTGAAGGCCATCATCAAGATTCTCTGGAGTGTACATTTTGATTGGAGGACAGGACTTCGCTCCACACACAAGCGCAAAATGGATGCGAGGTTCTAATGGGACAATAGCGTGAAAACGGCGTGGATCTGTCGACCCAAATACTGGGTTCTTTATAAAGCTGGAGGGGGGCGCGCGGTTCCCGCGCAATACGCCATGCTCAATGTCGTCTAGAGAGAAATCGTTACCTCCGATATAGTACTTCATTCCCTTATAGAATCCCATGCGCTTAAAGACAGACTTGGGAGGACCACTCTCTACCATTGCATGAATGACTAGCGTGTTGTAGGCGTTAATAAAGAAAGCCATTTTCTCCTCTCGATTGAGACTGAACAAGTCAACCTGGTAGAAAAACAACCACAAGGAGCGGTACACGTCATTAATGCTAAGTATTTCGACTTGCTACCGTCTTCACTTGAATTAAACGCCCGGTTATTATAGCGGCATTTGGGCAAATTTCAGTCTGGATGCAGTGATAGTGACGGAGCGTTCTATTCAGTTGAAGACAGCAGTAAGGTTGCTGCAAAGTCACCAGTGGCAAAGGCACAGTGCGGGCGTACTCACACTAGGCCCTCAAAATCACAAAATCACAAAATGAACGGCCAGATCGAGTCCTTCATTGACAACTACTCAATCTGGCCACTCATTTTGCGAGTTCGCGATTTGAGGGGTCTAGTGTGAGTATGCCCTGAGTCTTGTGGGACATCTGTTAAAATTGGAAAGATACAGAGAAGATCAGCATGGCCCTGTGCAAGAATAACACAAATAAATCAAGAAATATTCCAGGATAAAAAAAATAAAAAATAAAAAAGAACAGGCACAGTGATTAACGGAAGCGACGTTTCCTAAATCGGAAGGAGCCATAGCCTGAGGGCTATGTTCATTTAAAAAAAAAATAAAAAAAAATTGCGACGAGCGTCGAACACAACAGCAAGTCTATAGTTCAGCTACCAGCAATTTCTTTTTTTTCTCTCTTCTTTTTTATCCTTTGCACTGTCATCAATCTCGGTCTCACCCTGCTAGGCACGTACTATGTCGAGTTTTGCATGATCCAGATCCAGACCCAGACCTGGGTCTGGGTCTGGATCCCATCCAGCCGTATAAGAAAACAGTTGCAGAGTGAGCTGGAAAGAAACAATACACAGACTTCCCAATTCCTCCGTTAGAACTGAGGTATATACTATACACTACAGTCTTCCCCCGAATACAACGCACGGTCATTATTGCCAAATTTGGTGCATCTTTCGGTCTAAATTCAGCTATAATGACCGTACGTTGTATTCGGGGGAAGACTGTAGTATACAGTGAGAAACACATCCTTTGATGACGAAGCAACGAGGGGGGAGGGAGGGAACTCATGAGATCAGAAATCTCAGATCTGTCAACAAAAAAAGACGTCAAAAAATTCCAATCACTTGAGATTTGAAAGCCGAAACAGACTTCAAAAAGTATCAGGTCAACCGACAGAAAATTGTCAGAAAAAAACGTCATGAAACTTGAAGAAAGTCAAATCAGTTGAGAAGTTGAGAGTTGAAAACTGATACAAACTTTGAAAAAGGTCAGAAGAACAGAAATTTGTCAGAAAATGTCAATTAGCCAGCCCTTGTGGGTGAAGGATGGTGGTGCACATACTACATACTCCCATGTAGCTGTTAGTAAACAGAGCATGAGCTCGTGTCCTGATGGAATTCGATGCACACAATAAGTCAGGGGTTACCCCCTGTTAAGAAGAAGAAGAAGAGGGGAAAAAAAGGAAGTAAAATCACACAGTCGCCCACAAATAGATCGGAGCCTGTGTTTATTCAAAAAAAAATTAAAAAAAAAAATTAAAAAAAAAATCACACAGTCGAAAGCTGAAACAAAGTGTGAAAATAGTCACACCAGTGAAAATCTGCAGAGGTGCGGTGGAATATTACAAAAATGTCCCTGAAAATGTGATGTACTCTATTTTTTAACAAAAGAGGCAAATTCCACCAGGCACATATACCCCCGAAGCGAACACCCTGTCATCATGGCTGCATTTGGGGCAACTTGCAGTCTAAGACACAGCAATAATGACCGGGCAATGCGGGCATTCTATGTGGGTGAAGACCGCAGGAACAGTAATTCACAGTCTGTCCCAAACTGTCTTCTTCCTACAAGTCCCATTCTGTCACTGTGCCTGACCTTGTAAAGCTATGTCCCATTCTGTCACACAGTGTCTTTCCGTCTCACTGTACCAGGCAAAAAAGTAACTCACATTCTGTCGCACAATGTCTTCCTCCCACACATCACATTCTGTACCAACCCAACCTAGGAAAAGTAGATCGCATTCTGACACACGCCGCCTTCCTCCCACACATCACATTCTGTCACACTGGACCACGCCTAGAAACAGTAAGTTGCGTTTTGCCATGCACTGTCTTCCTCCCGCAAGTCACATTCTGTCACGCCGAAGCACCCCTAGGAAAAGCAAGTGATATCACTCTTCCTCACGCTCTGTAACACTGTGCCAAGCGTAGGAAAAGTAAACCGCATTCTGTCACACATTCCTCCCCCCACAACACAAATTCCGTCACGCTGGACCAGGCCTAGGTAAAGTAAATCACATTCTGTCACACTACCAGTGTCTACCTCCCACAAGTCACACACATACTGTCACACAGTGTCTTCCTCCCACAAGTCGCACACAATCTGTCCCTGCCAACATTCCTCCTGTGTCCCACTGACAGAAATGCACCGGACATGCTCATGAAAACTACTATGATGATGTGACCTGAACTTACCTCGCTTTGTGGACCACATACAGCAAACGTCCAGGATATTCTGGGAATCTCTTACGCAAGATGCAGCAAGATTTTTTGCTTGATTTACAGAGGGCAGAAAGGCGCGCGGACAGATATGACTGAGAACATACTTGGGCATATTGACAAAGGTAGAGCAATGCCAATCCCGGTACAATGCCGAGATAGATGGCCGAAACGACGAAGACACATGGAACCCGGACTCGACCAGACTGGAGCGAGTTTCAGACCCAGCCTTTGTGGCTGTGTTATATGCCCGATTGAAACGAAATCCAACATGGCATCCACACGTCCCCATACGTGTGCGCAATAACAAGTGGACTTGGAGTGAGCAATCCACACCAAAACCAGATGCGGAAAATACACAGCGTAAGCACACAAAACCCCAAAATAGAATTGAATCGAAAATCAATTCTAAATTCTAATTACCGTCTCTCCCCAGTTCAATCAGCAACACGACTTTCCCCAAGAATCCCAACCACATTATCAACAGCCACGGACCATTTATATACAAAAAGTTTCATCGCAGTATCCGGGAGTCTTCTTCTTCTTCCCACTATCCCCAAGCTCGCGCTATGGTGCCACTTCCACTCTCAGCGCCCAACCAGACAAGCCTGCAAATGCTACACACCCGCCTGAATCCAACACATCACTCTGCACCACTCATGATCCCAGCTGCAGATGATGTGTCCACTCAGCAGGGGAGCGCTGCTCCGAAGATGAAGAAGAAGAAGAAGAAGGAACTCCATGAAGACGAAGGCCTGCCACATCGAAGAAGACTTCAAAGAGCTGCTTCGTGGAAGCTTCCCAAACCCCAACATCACATAAATAGGAGGAAGCACTCTTCAGTACTTGAGCCCCTAGCCCAGTGCCGCCATCCACAAAGCTGTTCAGCCCCAGCTATGGCCGCCAGCAGCTTGGAAGATGATGCTGCCGCGCTACTGGAAAATAGCGCTCCAGCTCCAACACGACCTCACACCCAGCTCGTGAAAAGAAGAACGAGCAAAAGGAACCCCAAGTGCCTCGCCAGCCTCCTATGTCTAGACACAACCTCTACTTTAACCTAAGACAAACAGAACACTAAGACCTACGGGCCAACACAAAAGCGGCAGAAAAAGACGAAAGGAAACAACCTAGTGGTCTAAGGCTGCCCAGAAGAGAGACTCCAGCAAGTGACGAGCACAGGGGTCGAACCCCACCCACCTCAAACCGTCGAAAAACTACAAAACTAAACTGCTTTGTAAGGAAGTCCCAGTACGGAACAGGTCATGGGATCAAGCCCAGTAGCACCTCACGCCGTAGAAAAACTACAAAGTAAACTACTTAAAGGAAGTCCCAGTAAGGAACAGGTCAGGGGATCAAGCCCAGTAGCACCCAAAAATGTTACAAAACTAATCTACTGAGTTATACAGCCCGCTGTGAATCTGCAGTTTATTGCATTCTAGTAATTTCTTACCCTCCTGGGGAGCCAGAATCCACAAGCTACATAACCAACTACCAGCCATACTGGCGTCGAGGTATAAGCTACAGGATCGCTAAACTAAGTAAGCTTCCATACTGGTGGAGAATACGAAGACCTCAGATTCTCAGAGGGTTTAAGGTGAGATTATCAGATTAAATTGATTAGTTGAATGCGAGGGTATACCCAGGTAATCAACTTCTGAAAATCTACGGGTCGTAGCTCAGATTATCAGCGAGTGTTGGCTAGCTGAATGAAAGGGTATTACCCTGGTAATCAGCTTCTAGATAGCTAACAACATCCTGAAAATCAGATGATCGATGTTTAGATTAACAGCATGTGTTAGCTAGTGGAATGCAAGGGTGTTAGCCTAATAATCAACTTTGCTATAACCCATTGGTTCTGGAAATCTGATCAATTTCTGTTTGGACTAAATAGTAAATATCAGTTAGACTTTAACCGATGAGCTGCATGTCTGCAGGCGCGATACGCAGATTCTTCCCTGCAATGGGTAGGATCTGAAAGATCTGTATATGAGGCTAAGCCTTATTTAGGAGACAAACCACCATATATTCATTATTAACGCTCTGGACGACAGAGTCAAGCATACATGTTAAAAATAGTCGTAATGAAATTGATAGCACCTAATATTGAGGAAACACCCGATAAATGAAGACTAAAAATAGCTAAATCCACAGCTCCTCCAGAATGACTGGTTATACCACTTAAAGGTGGGTAGACCGTCCACCCGGTACCAGCACCTACTTCCACTAAGGCAGAACTTAGAAGGTCTAACAGATTTGTACTCTGTCCGAACACTTTGAAGCAATAACGGGACAGAGCCCAGTGGATCAAAGGAGATAGCAGTTCTGCAGGTAAACTTCACAATACTGTCCGAAGAGTTGTAGACTCCATACCTGTGTGTTTCCAAGAAGAAGTACAGAAGATCTGACTTTTCCCTGAGAGACCACTACTCAGGACTGTGTGTGAGAGTCTGGGGTAAGATCTCTGTGCTAATCATACTCTCCCTCAAACACAGGTCATCCATCCAACGAGTGCAGCTCGGTGTGAGAACACAAACTTGATGAGACGGTGAATGCAGCTCAAAGCACATACATGAGGAGGGGGTAGTCAGATAAGGGTTCAATGCAATGTACAGTGAAATTGTTGTCAGACTGCAAGCAATCTCGGGGCCGATTCATCTTCAAGAGAAGATGATTTCAGTCCGGTCAACAGCCTGTCCATCAACGGTGTTCAAGAAACCTGAATAAGAACGGAACTTAGCGTACTCACTCTCGAGCACAGGTGATGCACAGACACACCAGTGAGATCAGTGAAGGAATAAGGCTCAAGGTAGCTATACAAGGAGCAGGTTTCCATCAGCTGACCACACACACAGGTAAGTTACGAGCAACCAAACTGAACCTGATCCAAGGGAGAGGTGCCACACCTGGTGGGAGATGTCCTGGAGTTAAAAGGGCCCATGGAAGAGCCGTTCAGTTGTATATTCATTCGTTATCAATGAGACTTTCATCCTCTCTCGCTACTTCTTTCCTACCTTTGTCTTATTCCAAGGAACTCGCTGCCGAGGCTGAAAGTACAACGTGTTAAACCAACAGTACCGGGCCGAAATCTACAGTCATCAGGCATGGAGGAGGCTTGGCAGGGGGGGCGCTGGGTTCGCCCACAATTGAAAGAGAGTGCCACTGTGTTAAATGAGACCAGATGAATGATTGTGGTATGGCAAGCTTCTCACAGTATTGGGTCCATTACAGAGTCTAATACAGACCAATAAAGTAACATTAAAGTACTATCAATTTTCCATTGCCCCATAATGTCTGACAGCATTCGTTGCCAGCAGTCGGGGGGGGCATATCACACTAGCACTTTCAAAATGCACCTGACTGCAATTACGGCCAGACCTGCACGAACCTAACAGCAATTACGTCCACAGCATTGAGGAAAAAGTCCTGGTGTGAGTATGCCCTCAGAAACGTAAATTTTAAACAGTCGCAAGTTCTCTTAACTTCTCTAAATGAAGGACCGAAACCCGTACACTTCGAGTCTTTGACACACACACACAAAAAAAAAGTACAGGAACTAGTACAAAGTTAGAAACTGTGAAAAAATCACTCACCCTCTGGAGCTCTTCCGCAGCCTTCACATACTTTTTGAACGAGTTACTGGTTGAAAGGGCAGTATAGTTCACAGACCTCCCATCTGCTGATATCGCCTCCACATGCAAAGCTAGCACCATCTTCCTCAATTCTGCGATAACCTGCAAAAGGAGGACGATTTGTCTTATACATCAAGATTCGCGAAACGATCCCCGCACAACAAAATCCGCCGCCGACCAATGAGCCTACCTCAGTGGTACACCCATGAACTGTTGAAATACAGACCCGAGTTAGAATCCAGATCAAAATAATTATTTTCTCCCCTCCCCCCCCCCCCCCCCCCCCCCCCCCCCCCCCCCCCCCCCCCCCCCCCCCCCCGGCTTCTCTCAACTTCACCTCGCACTACCTACCTACCCCTACTCCTAAGCCTATACAGGGGACCCCTGCAAGCATAGCTACCTCAGAGTCTCACAATGAAGGGGATGCATGTTCCCCCCCGCCTCAATCGGCGGTGGTCAGGGCGTAGGGTGGCGCCGCCGGTGGAAGGGGGGGGCGGCTAACGAAAAGACCGAGCAACCCGAACACGAACCTGTCCCACGACTGTTAGCAAAATCTAGCTGTCTAAATAAAGTTCCCTCCATCCAAAGGAAAAAGAAAAGAACCGGATGTGTACGCCCAAATCGGACAATGAGAAGACAGACGAGAGGCATAATAACTGCAGAGTCAAATCTTGAGAAGTCCTGCGCCTGACCCTGGATAGCGGTCCCGAACTTGCCCCAACTGACCCTCAGCGCCAAGCCCAAACCTATCCTGCACCTGACCCTTGCAGCGGAATCGAAACCTGTATGTAAAAAATCTAACAGTCAAAAGACCCCTCAACGAAACCCTTCGCGCAGACCCTGCACCGTCCTGCACCTAATTCTTGGAGAAAAACCCAAGCAAACCCCAAACCCAGCCATACGTGCCAATGCCATCAACAAGAGTGCAACCGCCACCGCCTAAACATCCCTGGCGCCATTCATAAACCTACCTTCCATCCAACCCTCTGCGCAGCTTCCGAACCTTCCTTGAATCTAATCATCAGCTGGTACAATCTCTAACCGGATAAAGGGACTCCAACCCCAAGCCTAGAAAATGCCCTTGCTTCACAGTGTTCACACCCTTGCATGGGACAGGATAAGAAACCTGTCAGTGAACCTGAGAGATGACAACCCAGCGAAGCCTCCAAAACTCACACAGTAATCATTGCACACACCATCTGCACAATTAGGGCGTCCTCACACTACCATCGTCCCCCGAACAGAACGTGCGGTCATTATAGCTGAATTTGGCTCAACTTTCTAGCTAGCTAAAGTGATAAGGACTGTACGTTCTATTGGGGGGAAGATAGTAGTACCTTCTCCCTTCCATATTTGCCAGGTTTGGCGGGACGAGCAGTCAAAACTGTGCCCAGTCAGTTTTCAGAAAGGATGAAGTCAGTATGCAACGCAGTTCCATTTTTGAGAGGTACACCAGTCACATAGTGTGACGCTCATTTCCTCTTGTCATGAATCTGTCTCAAAAGATTCTCACGTTGAGAAGAAAGGAATAGCAGGTCTGTGGGCACCTGTGGAGGTGACCACAAAATAATACCGCCCAGGTGACCACAAAATCATACCATCACGGCTGGGCAGGCTGATATTTGATTGGTCGTGCTCGAGGTGTGACTAGGAAGGTAAGACCACAAACCAAATCACTCTCAAAACCAAAACCACAACCTGGAACCTTACAGCACAATTTTTTACTGTGCTCATGCTTGTCACCGTACTGACAGAAGTGAAAAATGCCTGCATAAAGGGGACATCAGATGCACAATATAGTAGGCGAAAACAAAACTGTGTATGTCTGTGTTTACCTGCCTCTCTCTCTCTCTCTCTCTCTCTCTCTCTCTCTGATTTGAATTTTCACCACAACAGCCCCTATTCCACCCAGATGAGTAGATCCAAAATCAAAGCATATTCAATCCTATTACAGACAACGAAAGCCCTTGAGTTGAGACAATCCAACAATCAAACAATCAAACAGTTCAGCTCTATAGCAAGCAACATCAAGCACAATAGAGGCATGTAACCCCCTTTCTTAATTGTGTTCACGTTTGCTTTCTTCGGGGTACCCCTTTCATTTGTTCTTGCAGCTCCCCCTTAAACCCCTTTATCGTGCCTCTCATGTACAAGGCTTGCCGCGAGCTGCCCACATCCCCGTGTGCCATAATGGCCCACTTGTACACTATGAAAGGAGGCAGAGGAAATTCAGAGGTATATTCCTGTTCATTTCTTCTCAGATCTTCAACTTCTATTTTGTATGTTCTCTTAATGATGTTCATTCGTATGTCTTACTAGTAATACAGAAGAAAAGGGAGGGAGGAAATGGGAGGTGGAGTTCTAACAGAGTTCTAAACAGTGACCGCTGGGGCAGACCACTCTAGAACGGCACATGAGGCCAGGCAGTGTGTGGGTTGAATAAGATTTGAGGAGCAATCGTTGCCTATAGTAAGTGCCTATGGTAAGTGCCCACCTCTACAGACTGGGAAGGACCGGTTCAGGTGCAGCCTGTGGAAGCACCACATCCAGTTCTCGTAGTCACATTAACTGCATCGGATGGCACGGCAGAGACAGATGTCACAGGCTACGTGGATCCTTCATGCTAGAAACACAGAGGCATGTCGACCGCAAATGTAAAGGCATTGCCGTTCCAGCCCGTCTACAAATTGGACATGACATGTCAGGGTGCCGTACATGAGTGCAGTGTAGGCTGTCATCATACGTATGAAGACAAAAGCTCACCCGGGCTATCCCTTCATAATCCTCACGGCATAAGGTATGCAAACCACATGCTAGCTGAATCTCCCGTGGGTCATCACAAAGCGGCATGGAGCAAGTTTCTTGGGTTTCCTCAGTATTTATTCCTTCCCGAATCTCTATGGCTAGATGAGGATGGGGGAGATTGTGTGTGTGTGTGTGTGTGTGTGTGTGTGTGTGTGTGTGTGTGTGTGTGTGTGTGTGTGTGTGTGTGTGTGA